TTTACTTGCCCTTAGAAAAAGAAGGAAATTAAACATTATTTTTTACTTTCTTTTCATCAAATTTAGCTGCATATGTGTAGAGCAGTATCAAAGAACAATTACAATTGTATAAAGTCTGCTGGGCTGAAGAGCTTATTAAAATCATGTTTGAAAAAACCCACTTAATCTGAATGAGCTCTTGCATTTTGAATAATAAATTACAATTTTTTACTATTATTCATTTGCTCTTTCTAGTGCTTTATACACATCACACATCCATTTTCAAAAGATACTTGTCTGCATTTGAGTGTGTGTTGATGTAATGAAAGAAACACAAATGATTTGCTGAAGGTGATAAAATGGGCACATCATAAAGCTTGGGGAAGCTTCTGGACCACAGCTGTCCTTGGGAACTTTGGCACAAACTTCATCTTGACTGTAATTTCATTCTGGATTTTTGGAATGGGTTTAGCTTTTTCCTCTGAAGTTTCACAGAGAGAAAGTTGCTGATCATCTGCTGCTGTTTGTAAAAGGTTTTAGAAAAGCCAGAGCTCATATTACACAATAAACAGCTAATCCATATTAGGTTACTGTGATAGCTATAATAAATCAAGATATGAAGAGAGGCTGAAAATTCTTACATGTCATTAACTGATAATTCCATCTGACTAGATTTTTCTCTGTTCTGAGGAGGAGACAATGTCTCTTTGTGGTTTGACTTTAGTGTGAACATAGAAAAGAAATTTAAGGAGAGATTACAGAAGTAGGGCTGTGTTTTTGGATGGCTCCTCCCCCCGGCTGTGTGAATGGTGTTATCTGTGCTCTCTCGGGTGTCAGAGCTATATTTATCACTCAAGAATTGTGGGCATGTGAATTTGTGCTCTGACCAAAACAGTGCTTCAGTCAACATGTTTCTATTACACGATGTACACATTTATTATTTTGCTATAACAAATTACTCATAATTTCCTTTTCTGTCCTTTAAACAAATAAATATCTTCAAAGGAAGAACTAGATGCTTCAAGAATGAGGTTTTCTCAGGGTGTTGTTTTATTAATGGAATGACTTACATTAGCAAATCAGTGGAAGAAATGGTAACGTGAACCAGCATATTGAATTTCATTTTAGCAATCTGTATTCCAGAAGGAAGTCCTGAGAAGCAATCGTTCCTCAATGGAACCTCAATTTAAATTACAAAATAGGGAGTATGCTGAATGCATATAGAGCATATGAGAGATTAAATAGAAGTGTTTGTTTGTGTTCATAAGGTAACCAAGACAATAAAAATAGGCTCTACAAGTAAGGACTATAGAAGCTGTGGTAATGAAAACAATAATTAATATAATTAAAGTTACTATCCCCAGGGCAGCTGTAAATTGATGGTATTAATTATGCAACAAACCTGTTTGTAAATTGATGACATAGGAGCTCATGGGAGTCATCTAGAATAAATTTTTCGTTTTGAAGCTTTTGGGCAGTATATTATGCAACTGCCAACAGCCACCAACGGATATTCAAAGGTTATTTATATTAAACTCTATGATTTGTATTCTTCAAAGAACTAATTAATTTGAAGGCTGAAATTATAAACAATCAGTTATTTCATGTGCATAAGATTGATTATATAATGTAAACCAGAGTTCCTTAGTATTGAATTCAATAGATGTCATAGTTGGTATTTTTCTGCCCCTGTAACTGCACTGATTAAAGTGAATTCCAGCAGCAGGGAATGTATAGTATTGAATTACCTCTGCTGTTAGTACTGATTGTGGAGAAAAGATGATAAGAAGTTTAATCTATTTTTACATAGATATTTGAATTTGAAGCTTTTTTCTTTATTATTTGCCTCTACGTATCAGAGTGGTTATTAAGAGACGTTATGAAGTGCTGGAAGTCCAGCCTGTTCATTTCTTTTCAGTTCTTCAAGGTTAGAAACATCAGTCAGAAATAGAGATGGCAAATGACATGAGTATATGAAACAAGGTGCAAAAATCTTTTTTCTACCTTAAAAAAGGAAGTAGTATGTAACAGCTCCTTCTGCTTCACACTGTTCAATTAAAATTGAAATTTTAAAATGTCAAAGTATTTTTACTTATTTAAAAAAAATCTATAAAATGAAAATAAGCACTTAATTTAAAGCAAAAAATATTTCTCTTTTGTTTTTCCTCAGTGGAAATGTTTGTGTTTTCTGGCTAGTCATGTGATATTTGCTTGCCTAGGTTTCTGTGAAGCAGTTTAGATTGCATGACCAGTTTTACCAGCTGGAAGTTCCTGTTTCTCAAATGCTGTGAGTGAAACCAAGAGGAGCACAGTCCTGTCACTGCTTAGTGCAGTATCTAGCAACTTAAAACTGTCTAAAATGCAATAATTGTATTTGCTTGTGTATGCTTTCTAAACTTGAAGAAAATAATATACACTAGAGGAATATAAATAATGCCATGATTTAATGGCATCTCCCACCTGAAAAAATTATTCTTTGTCCATTTTTATGTATTTTCCAATCATAGTTTCAGCTTGCAAGCAATTTTGGTGATTATTTCCACAATGTCTTTAGGCCAAATACAGCAAGGTTTTCTTTGTGTGTTTTGTAATTTTTCCACCAAAGCAATAAAATTGGAAGTGCAGGATAAGACACATACAAAATAAGGTGTTATCAAGATATCTCCATTACTATGCAACAGCCTGGAGCCTCTAGTCTGATTTCTTGTTTGTTTTTCCTCGTTACAAATATGTAGATAAAACTGTGGGAGTTTAGCAATGCTGCCACATTATATTGGAATTTGCCATAAATCCATTTGTTTGGGCTTGCTATTTTCACACTTATTCCCTCTCTTCCTTTTTCTTTTATAAGGAATATTTTGCCCTCTGACTCAAGAATGTCCAGCGATACAGAACAGCTGCTGTAAAGTGTCAAAATGAGAGAATGACTAGAGGGTGAGGCAGAGGGGGAAAATGTTTTGAAAGACAACCAAGGTAGCCAAAGTCATCAGCTGCACTTCCTAACTAGAGAGAGAAGATGAAAGCAGAACTACAGGTCTTCAGGAAAGCAAAGGCCATGTCTTGCTGATTTTAGTGTATGGAACAGAGTGGTGTAAGGCTGCAGTGGATTGTGTCAGCTGTACAGAAATCACTAATGCTAATATGATGGTTGCTCCTGCCTGTGTGCAGGTATCCTGCACCTGGGAGGCACCTTTGGGTGCACAGGGGCTCGGCTGGAGGCTGCACCCCTGGCTGTGTTGTAGGGACTGGCAGCTGCTCCCTAGTGAGAGCATCCTTGAGTACTGATGGCACTCTGCTGGCTTTTGTCAGGTGCAAGGAGTAAGTGTTTCATGTGCTGGCTAATAATATTTAAAGATGGTGCTGCTCTTTTTTGAAAAGCAATGATCAGACTCAAGTACCTTAGCTCCTGAGAGGAGGACAGAGCTGTTGTTTCTCCTTCACATAAAATAACAGCCCCAGCTCCTGGCATGGTGCAGCCTTTAGCTGTGGCTCTTTCACTGTGGATTCAGGCCATGCATTATATATTCCAGTGCTTGGTCACTTGTGTGAAAAGGAGGGGGAAGTAAAAGTAGGAGAGCACCTACTACTTGCATACCTCGATGGGTCTGAGAGAACACAGTTCTTCCAAACTGTAGAGGAAAGAGGAGTTGACAGCATTTCTACAAATAACCTGCCTCTGTTTTGCCCAAGCACTCCAGGAGGCAGCTGTTAGTAGAAGTAACTAATACTTGCCTAGAATTTTTTAAAACTGGAAATTTGTGTCCATCATTTTAATGTTCCAACCACAAGATGATCAAGTAATATAAACCATAATTCCACTCTGTTCCATAATTGCTATTTACTTATGGATGCAAATTACAAAGAAGCATAATGAAAGTCATAGCTTTTCAATTTGTATCACTTTAAACAAGCAAGAAAGCAAAAAAAAAAAAAGAGAAAAAAGCTGAAGCAATAATCCTGTTTTCCTGTATGATTCAATACAGTTCAAACCTCTCTGAATTAGAGTTCATTGAAAAGACAATTAGCAGTCATAAGATTTACATCAGATGATATAACAAAGCAAAATCAATGTACTCCACAGTTTTGAATCAGAAAAAAGAATTTTTTTCCACCACAAGTGGTGGAAAAGTCAACATGCCAGGTTCAGTGGTTTGGGGCATGGTTCCCTCTATTTACCTTGTGAAGCATGTGCAGCTCCTCTTCCTGATATCTGGCAAAGCAACTGAGAGTTTTACAATGATGTGAACTTCTTTTCCCTGTTCTATCTCCTGTGAAGGGGGTTCAAGTGATCAGAGAGCACTCGGATTAAATTGAACATTTAGGTGAAATGGCCTTTGTTAGTCTCTCTTGTCTTTGGTGCATTCGGGCTCTATATACACTGTCCTACTGAGAGGGCAATAGGGGAAGGGAGAAATAAGCACACAGACAAGCAATTAGTTGGTGTATGTGGCTGGAAAGCCCAAAGAAAATGGAGACGGTAGTTAAATCACAATTTATTTCAGATATTGCTTAGAATTAGCTGCATTTGCATTCAGAAATGTGAACTTTCTTTTTTTTTTTTTCCCCAGAGCAAAGGTTTTTCCAATTTGGTTTTTGTTAAGCAAATACTCTAGGGGCTATAATTTGCCCAGATACAGTGGTATAATTGAATTCTTGTCTTACTAAAGTGGAGTTAAACAAAGATAAAAACAGCCTTGAAGTGGATTGAATATGGTTTTCTGATTTTGTTATGGAAAATTGAAACAATAGCAAGCTATTAAACAAAAGTTCTCCTGTCTGCTGTGCTACACCTCTAGAATATAGAGAATGTTGATGAGTATAACCAAGGCAGCATTTTATCTGTTAAATAAGGCTTTAATACACAATTAGCCAATTAAAAGACCTCACCAAAACAATGACCAGTAGACTTAATAACAGACATGTAAGTTATGTAGATTAACTATTCCATGTTATTCATATTGTCTCTGATAAAAATAATCTTTATTTGGATATAGAAGTTGAACTAATTTTGTGTTTTGTAGGTCTCTTCTCAAGAATCTGGAACCAAACCATTGACCTTCACATTTGTACCATCCATTGGACGACTTCCAACTCATTTTGAGGTTGTGGATATCTCTAAGTTTCTTGTGACAATTCCAGAGGAACCAAAGGATCTGAGCAACCAAAAAATTGTAAATAAGGTAGATTTGTGTTTGCATTACTTTTTTCACTTCTTCTAAAGATACAATTTTATTTTGAGCATTGCTGAACTGAAGCTCTTTCCCTTGAATGGTTTCTTGGCTTGTGCTTGGTTTAATTACCAAGATGTGGAATCATTGTGCAAGAGAAGGCCAGTTCAATAGGTCTGCTCTATAGCTTGCTTTGCCTTTGGCAGATTTTATATTGGAAGGAAACCCTTGATCACCTCAATTCTATCCTCTGTCAGTCATACAATGGCAGATAAAGGGGACTCCTTCTAGATCTTCATAATAGCAAGGGTGGTGTGCAAGGAGTGTTATCACATGGAAATTGACCAGGAGTTGTTCACTGGATCCTGATTTCAGCAAATGCCAGTGCTGTGGCTTCCTGTGGCATCAAAGTGGAAGTGAGCTTCTGATTTTTGAAAACTTGTCCCTGTGATTTGCTCCAATGGTGAAGCCAGCAGCACAGCATTCCTGGCTATTCCTTTCCTGCCTCACAACACTTAATGCCCTCTTATTTTATTCCATGCTGCTTGAAAGGCTACCACAATCCTCAGGTTAATATTAATGCTTATGGCAATTCTGCTTTTGTGTAACAGCTCCTTCCCTGGGACGTTGCTGGGGCTGCAGTTCTGGGTGCTTTTCCATGTAATAAGGAGTTCACACCCTCTGACCCGAATGTGTTCCAGCATTTCAGTGTCCTATCTGTTAGGTCTGGGCACAGGATGGATGTATTTGAAGAGACATTCACTGGAATATTATCCACGGGGAGTTTAACTCATTAGTTACATTTACAGCTGCTCAGTATTGGTTTTGTTATAAGTAATGCCCAGGATAAAGGAGACTCAGGTCTTCCTGATTCCATCCATCCCCTGTGTTTCTCTGTGGACAGAGGAAACTTTTCTGCCAGTTGATGCAGTTGTGAGGCCTTCATAGCACAGATTAGCCCCTCTTCTAAAATGTCTAGAACCTGAATAATATTTCAACAACCAATACCAGATAATCAAAAGAACACTGTCAAACTCATAATGGTGATATCCCCCTTTGTGGTCCAGTATTTCTTCAAAGAACTGAACTCCAGGGCTCATGGAGCTGCAAGTGAAGTGGAAATTTGTAATTACTGTGTTCCTCAAGCAGCATTCAAATATGAGCCCCATCTGGAGGTTTCCTCTAGCAGTACACAATATATCTATTCATTTACCTGATTCTTTCTCTGTGGGAAATATGATTCACAATAGAAGTTTTGATATTGAATGATTTAATATGTATCATATGTGCAGTCTGCACGGTTCCTGCTTTCATCCAAAGCATGCTTGAGAAGTGACATACTGGATGTGGAAATTGCAGAAAATACGAAGGACAATTGTGGTCTGTGTTGCAAAGCTTGAACATACAGTAAAGCTCTCTGACCTCTGAGTCTGTTTGCTCTCTTCAGACAATGCCTTGTCTTAAGGGCCTTTGTTTCTTCATTAATATGTATAGGTTTTGTCCCAGATTTGTCTGTCACACTCCTCTGAGGAGCATTGTCTGCTCCGTGGATCCCGCGCTCGGGATGCCTTCCCATCGTGTCTGGTGTAGTGTGGTCTGACAGCTCATTCGGCTTGACTGCACCCTCCTCTCGGCTCCTGGGCCAGCACTGTGCTCAGAGCTCCCTGCTGCTCTCTGAGCTGCTGGGAGGGCAGTCCCACAGCATTGGCTGGGGGCTGGAAGCTGGGATTCCCTGGGGAAGTGGCTTCGACCGTGTACTCATCCCTAAATTCTTCATTTGCCTACTGCGCTTTTGGTAGTGCAGAGACAACCACTACCTAAAGCCAAAATTGCTTCACATTTTGGGGGATGCAAATAAAATGCAGTTAATTGGGATCTTTTGCCTTGTATCTTTTGCAGTCTGAGGCAGTCTCTGATGAGCTGGTCTTAAAGAGTGGGGCCAAACAAGACTGTGTCTGTACAGACAGCACCCGAATGGCTTTCCAGTCCCTGGGGTGTAATTCAAGCAAAGGAGAAATGCAAGAGAATGACCTTTTTAAGGCTGAGTTTATCCTGATTACGGACTCTGGTGATGAAGATGAAGTAGCTGCTGCCTCAAACAACGCTCCTCAGCCTTCCAATGGCTACAGTCCCATCAGTGCTCAGCTGCTGACCACATCCCATGTTTCCCCTGGCACCAGAGCAGGGAAACCTCCTGGCGATGGGCACCTTCCAGGTGTTGCACTTTCCCACAGTACTACTGATCCACAAAAACATCAGGTAACAAGCTCTTTAGACTCTAGAGATAACCTTTGCTTTCTAAATCTTTCAGGATCTGGAGCCAGTTTTGTACAGCAGCTTGGTCAATTTGTTCTTTAATTTAACATTTTCATTGGCCATTTCTGTAACATTTGGACCTTAAGGAGCTGGCCCAACCCTTCTGACTCTGCCTCTCCGTATGATTCTGGTGTGTGAGTGGAGCAGATGAGGCAGATCTGTTCTTTCCTTTAAAAGCAGCTCATCATGACAGCAAGTTAATCAGGAGATGTTAGATTCCTAGTCTAAATTGGGTAAGGTCATTGAAATCAATGGAGCCTAAAGATCACTTGAATTATTTGCATCAGACTTCCCAGAACTAGATTCTTTTTTCTCCTCAGCAGTTCTTGAAGTCCTTTATGCAAGAGAAAGAGCCTGTAAAAATCCTATTATTCTGGTTGTTGGTTGGTACACCTGACTTTGCAAAGGTGCAAAGAACTAATGAAGATGAAATTTCTGTTTTATGTGGATCTTTATAGGTGCATTTATTGAATTACTAAATTTTAAGTTATCCTTGGGACATTTCCAAAAAGGGTCTTTTCAAAATGTTTCATTTGCAAAATGCATCAATCCAAACTACTGAATGAAAAGTTAATGTTAATTAACTTTAAATTAAAAGTAAAAGTTAATTCTTCCATCTTGGGAAGAACACTGATCTATATTGAAGGGTGTATATGCAATGGAAAATTCCACCTTTAGCAAAACAGCAAATCCTTCTCACATGAAATAAATTCAGGCTTTTCCTTTGACCTTGACTGGGTTACCATCACTTGAAAATGCAATTCATCGTTGATAATTTAAAAACAAATATTAAGTATGGCTACTTTGTTTCTGAAAATGAATAGGATTTCGTATCTTGTGTTGAAATACTTTTGCCACTCAATTTTTAATCAAATTCAGTGTCAATTTTTGATTGAAGACATTGTGAATAAGAAATCCACTCTGGTTTGGGATTCACAGCGATATGAAATGTTCATTTCTTCAGAGAAAATCCCAGTAAATCAGTGAGAATTTTCCATGAAGAAAGTTAAAGCCATAGGTAAGCATACATAGAGGAAGCAGCCTGTAAGAGAATACTTGTTCTGAGGAAATAAAAATTTACTTTAGCAATGTTCAGGCTTTCTTGGGTATTTTTTAAAAAAGCTTTTACTGAAATTGGGTGAATTTTGGAGTACTATACAGAAGAGTACCTATATTGGATCTTTCTTAAGCTTCTGGTGACTTGAGAAATAAAGAGGGGTTTGGCTGGTGAGATAACTGAAAATAAAGATTGCACAGAACAAGAAATTATGCCCAACTTTGCTCAATATTCACCTGAACAGGAAGAGAGACAGTACATAATATGGGTAATTGCATATCTTGTCATTATTCTTTAGTCACAAGTTTTCAAGACTGTACTTCCTCAGTCTTCATTATCTCAGTATCTTTAGCCATTTCTATTGCTTCATTAAAAGGTGTTTTTACTAAGCTGCCTTTCAGTGTTGTTCTGGTTCTAAAGTGTTTCCTCAGGCATCACTCTTTCTGACTTGTTATCTGATGAAGGATCATCACTTCTGAAATGAAGGAAAAACTACAAAAAGATTAAAGAGATGCATGGTTTATCTGTTGGTACATTTCCTTTTTACAAAGGATTCTATATATGGGCTACCTTTTCAGTTCTTGAATTCTAAGGGCACTATCATGTTCCTTTTAAGAGTGATTGCATATAACATTATGTTAACTTAAAAGCGTAATTAGATGATGAGTTTCCTGTCAGATGTGAAAAAAGCAAGGATCAGTATTGGGGACCACTGTGTTGCAGAAGGATTCACTCTAACTGACCCAGAGGGCTCATTCAGCTTCATTCATTTCTGACTGGTTAAACAAAAGGAAAAAAAGGAAAGCATTTAAAAAAAATGGCAATTTATGTTCTGTGAGACATAGAGGTCCTAACTGATGTTGGAAAATGCTGTGCTATATTCAACATCTGAAAAAAATAGTCTGTTATTGTGGTCACTGTTTGAACTTTTTGGTAATAGTTTAATGTTTATGTATTGTGTTGAGGGTTTTTTTTTTTTGTTTGTTTGTTTTAATGTTTAAGAGAATCTAGCCATGTAAGAGAGAGTCAGACTGACTCCTGCCTTTGGGAGTTTACCCTTTGGGTTGAGAGGGATATCTGCTTCCCTGAATATCAGGGCACGAGCTCAGCTTGGAGAAAATTCTTGACTCGCTGTGGGGGATCAGTAACCAGGAGGACTTTCAGTTACTCAGAGTCACTTGATGTTCCTCTGTCCTTTGAGTGCCATCTGGTTTGGCTTTTCCAGACAAATAAGTCAGGAGTCCCTACAAACTCCTGCCATTGCTTGGGCAGTGCATCTTCCTTGTTGGGAGAAAGTGAACTGCTCTAAATAGCATTTATATTAATTGGATCTCAGCTCACAGTCTGATTTACTCTGTTGTCTCCAGGGATTTTTTCAAGTTTTCCACAGTTTCAGTGTTTCCTTCTGACTTTCTGGTTCTCAGGTTGCAGTCTTTCTGGGTAATTTGTTTTTATTTTTTCCAATATATAAGCAGAATCTGCTGAGATCAAAGCATGGTTAACTGGGCCCAGGATCAGGTCTAAATTGAAGACATAATTCACTCAGACATGATTACTTCCTTTTGGGCTCTCAGTTTGCACACTCTTTCCCTTTTCCAGTTTGACCAGCACATCGGTCTTGCTGGTATAACTAACCACATCTTTTGTGCCCTTCCAAAACAATGTGACCTCAACCAGAATGATAATTTGCCTTATGTCCAGCTCAGTTTTGCCATTTTAAATGTGCTGGAGGTCTCCTGGGCAAGGCTCAATACTAGTATTATGTCCACTTTGATAATTCTGGAATAATTAACTGCAAGGCATCAAGATATTTTTCAAGTGCCTTTGTCCCTTTGTGCTAATGTAACCTTGCCACCTATTTCAACTTTCTTCATACATTTTTGGGACATGTATATGTGAGGAGCTCACGAGAAGAGAAAAAGGCTTGCAATTGAATCAGAAACCAAAGAAACAGAAATCCACTTTGGTCACTCACTTCTGCATTAATCCAATTCACCTACAGGACGGTTTTAAACCAGTAGAGAAACTGAACAGAAAAAAAATCCACTGCCTGAGGGAAGTTATTATACCTTGCCTGGCACTGTTGAGGCTGCAACTGTAAAGCCATACTCAGTTTGGAGGCCAGCAACCCTCAAATCCAAGAGAGATGTGAGGAAGGGAATAGAGTCCAGCACAAAAGTGTAAATGTGTCTGGGGCACATGTGAGCTGAGGCTGAAGGAGCTGGCTTTGTTGACTCCCACCAAGAGACACCTGAGGAAGCATCTAGGAACTGCCCAGAACCACTTGCAGGGCAGTTACAGACATGACAGAGCCAAACTCTTCTCTGCAGGGGCAGGTGAGGCAGCAATGGCTGAAATCGCAGTGTGGGAGATCCCATCTGGACATCAGAGGCAGCTTCCCCAGTGGGAGGTGGTGCAGCAGTGGCACAGCCTGCCCGGGGGTGCTGGAGCTCCATCAGAGCTCTGGAGACTGGGTGAGACACGGCCACAGCTGAGCTGAGCCTCTGGTGCTGATGAGAGCCCTGCTTTGTGCCAGAGGCTGGACTAGACAACCTCTGGAAGTCACTTCCACCCCACTTTGATTATGATTTCCTGATCCTGTAAATAAGAGCTTGATCATCTATGGATGTGGTTATTAATACTGTATTGCAATGGCGAAATCATTTCTGAAGACTTGATTAATGGCTCAATTAGCTCAGCACGTAAATGTTCAGTGGTATTTAAACTAGATAATAATACTGCAAAATGTCTTTATTTTACTTGCAGGAGCATATTTGTTATCTGCTACCATGGACATTTTTGTAGCTGCTTATAAATCTTATTAAGTTTCAACTAATTAGAAGTCACTGCACATCCCGTGCTTTTATTATAAAGTTTCATATTTGTTCCTCACTTTCTTTTAATCTGTTGTTTTTATAAGGCAAAATTTATCTATTCTATTTTGAAATATAGGTTTCATACCCCAGCTCTGTTTTGGTAGCCTATTAACTTCCAGAATTCATTACTAAATTCATGAGGCTGCTCCAGATTATCAGATTTATTACCACACTGCTTTTCATCTCATTAAATAATTTTGTCTTTCATGACATATTTAAAAATAATTTTTCATAATGATTAAATACTGGTAAATTATTTTCAATTTCCAGTATTTTTGCATCTTCTTAATTAGCAGCATTTTCAACAGGAGTCCTAATTTCTCAGTCAGATAGAACATATATACAATGATATAAGCAACATGATTTTTTATATTCCAGTATTTACCCTGTATACATCCATTGACTTTCCACTTTGAAATGGGATACCTTAACACATAAAACACAAGAAGCAATGGGAAGTTAGTGTTGTTGTAAAGTCATTTGGAGGTTTTGTGTTTATTCCGGTAAATCAAAGCATTGACCTGGCTTTTCTGAAGTTACCTTATACATAAAGTGTCTTTGGTTTAAAAGGCTTGCTATTTATGGGATCTCTAAGGAGGGAGAGCTCACTGAATTTAAGTTATAAGGGCTAATAGGGTTTTGAAGTGTGTTTATCCCATATTTAGGCATAGTTTTGCCTTTGAAAGCTTTTAAGTGTTGCTCTTCTGTTGCAGCTTCTTCCAGCATGTGCTCTCACTTGAAAATTAGTTGTTTTGTTCTTATTTTTGTTTTGTGATATATCAATACTATATTACATAATCATAATCATCATCACCATCATCATAATTCCTCTCTATTATGGGTAAGACATGTATTAAAAATATAATTCATAGGCTGAGCCACAGCCATGAGCAAGTTGTGTGTTAAACTGAACAGTATAATTGTCTTTTATAGAGCTGCATAATATTTTCAGAGTATCTAACAGTAGTTGAATAGGTGTTCTTATATTTACATCAAGTTTGATGAAATTG